TAAGTTCTGGGGAGTAACATCAGGCTGGTTCAGTTACATCTTCACATCGTGGCCTCGTTTCCTCTGATTCCTAAAATCCTGAGTCGCAGAGAGGTGGCTGAAATGTAGCCCAATGTCACGACCTCATCCACAGGTAGAGCTTCTGTCTCTGACCTGCTTGTGTTTTTACAGAAAATGTCCCTTGAAGCCCAACTCGCCGAAGTCCAGGGCAGCTACGGCATGAAGATGGAAGGATTCCAGATGAGGGTGAGTTCTGCTCTCATGGGGTCACATCCAAATGTTCCGTCAGCTGCTTTCAGCTTTTACACTCACACCGGGTTCACCTGTGCAGGTGAGCAGTCTGGAGGAGCAGCTGGTGCAGCTCAGAGCAGACCTGGAGAGGCAGGGACAGGAGTACCAGATTCTCCTGGACATCAAGACCAGACTAGAGCTGGAGATCGCCGAGTACAGGAGGCTGCTCGACGGAGAGGGAGGCGGGTAAGAAGAGCTCACCAGGACGGCCTCAGCTCTCTGTGGCCCTGCTCTCTCCTTCTCCTTACAGAGGTTACTTGGAAAACTTAAATATACAGAGGAAATATCCTTAGTTTTAGTGTTACCATCGGCTGCTAACATTAGTTCAATCTAATCTGATACATTGTGTAATTCCCCTCTGCAAATTAGAAGTAAACTGTTCACCACAGTTTTCTGAATATGCAGAATTTAAGCTCCTCGTTAGCTTAGAAGAAAAAGAGTGTTTATCTAAGGAGCCTGACAGTGTCCAAACTCACATTCATGTTCCTCTTCCTGTCCTGCTGGTCACAGGAAGTTGCACTGCCTCTTTGTGCCCTCTTGTGGTGCAAACTGGCATTACACAAAACCACGGTCTGGCACTCGTTTTTACTTGTTCGTAGATGTTTTGGCTTCTGCTCATTTTGGTCAACTGATGTTGGAAACGTGGGAGTTGCACTACAGCACCTACCTGTAAACGTGTGAGCGGGTTCTGCTTTTCAGGCGAGCATCTCTGACCAGCTTTGTCTCATTTCCCACGCAGATCTTCGCTCTCCTCCTCTACCTCCACCACAACCAAAACAATCATCACAAAGGTTGTGGAGGAAACCATCTGAGGCCAATCACGTGTCTGCCTGCCCGGGGTTGGAGTCGGATCTCCACCTTTCTTCACCTTCCTGCATGCTGGGCGAGTGCACACCTCCACCTGAAGATCGCTTCTCACCTTCACATCACACCAGTTTCCTGCTTCACAGGAAACCACAGGCGGTCTAAAGATGGAGGGTTTGTGAGGGGAAGCATTTTCTTGGCTTATGCTGGTGAAACTTTACTGCTGTGCTTGCAGGTCTTCTGTGTTCCGCTTCAACAAATAAAACGCAACAAAACCCAAAAAGTGTCTGAAATTAATGTCTGTGCTCACAAACTTCCACGTTACTCAAACGAAACGTCTTTATTCTCAAATATCATCCAAAGGCAGTAAAAAGTATTTTTAAAAACACACCTTCACATCCTTTTCACCTCATAGCAACTGTTTCTTCTGCTTCATGAACTGAAATTCAAAACAGATACAAGTTTGCATCAGCTGTTAAAGAAATCGATCACAGTAAGATGAACTGCTCCAGCTTATTATTCACAATCATCCATATTTTTATGGCACAGCTCTTACGCTGAGAAGGTGGATACCTGCAGGATGTTTCAAAAACTAGTTCTCAGCATTTTTGCTGGACGTGTTTCGGCGTTAGAGACCGAACAACAGCAGCTCCTACCTGCAGTTCCTCTGGTGTCCAGCAGAGGCAGCAGTGAGTCAGTCCCCATAGACTCCCATGTTAAAGCTTTTGAGTTTGTTTCCATACAACCTGTTTGGTCTCTAGATCCCCCCCCCCTTCATGACTCTGTGAGGACGGCAGACTTCCTGTTTCTGAAAACAAGCCGACACATTCCAGCAGAAACAGACGGAAACTGCAACATGTATCATTAGTTTCTTTATTAACTTTCTTCCAGTACAAGATGCTCAATTGCCTCCACCTTCTGTTTCTCTTTTTTTTTAACTTTTATTACATTTTATTTTGTAGGAATTACATAATCAATAGATTTGTACACAGTGAGCGATCTAGACGGGAGGGGAGGGGGGGGGTTGGGCTCCTTTGTGCTGATGATGAATTTTGGTCCTCTGGAGCCCAACAACGGTAAAAACTGACTTTAACAAATTATTTAAAAAAAAAAAAAAATAATAATAATAATAAACCGTCACGTGATTATCATCAGCAACAAAAAGACGCCTGCCGTGTCCCGATCAATCAATACTGCTCAATAAAAACGTGGAAAAGATCAAAGAGTTTAACAGTACATCCACATCCTGCGAGTACCCACACCTGCAAGTAAAATACTAGTAAACTGGCAGGAAGTACTCTCACCTGAGTTTAAGTACTTTGACTGCCAAAAACACAAATGGACGAACCTGAAGAGGTCAGACCCCGTTCACCGAGAAATGCGACGTTTCTTCTTTTCACATAAAAACTACAACGCTGTAACAGAGTCGGTCCAAGGTCAGATTCACGCGAGCTCGCAGACACGAACGTCGTACACTTATGAGAATACTGAAGGCTGTGTTAGGGGCTTCATGTTGCAGCTGTGGCTCAACCTCATGACCCACTACACCCGTTTATCGCCCACAGGGTTACCCTCGAGAATCAATGAGGAAAATCAAAACTGGAAGATCAGCGAGCTTCCCTTTCCACGAGCGGGATCGCTGATCGCTCTGCTGTCAGTGAACGCCACGCATTCAAGTCACTTCCGGCTGACAAGTATAAGAGAAAGAAGAAGGATTTTGAATTCTGGATTTAACAGGAAGCCAAAACAGGAGAAATCTGCTCTCTTTCTAGTCCCTGTCAGGACTCTTGCTGCAGCATTTTGGATCAGCTGAAGGCTTTTCAGGGAGTTTTTAGGACTTCCTGATAATAATGAATTACAGTCGTCCAGCCTGGAAGTAATAAATGCATGAACTAGTTTTTCAGTGTCACTCTGAGACAGGATATTTCTAACTTTAGAGATGTTGCACAAATGGAAGAAAGCAGTCTTACATATTTGTTTAATATGTGCGTTGAAGGACATGTCCTGGTCAAAAATGACTCCAAGGTTCCTCACAGCGTTACTGGAGGCCAAGGTAATGCCATCCAGAGTAAGAATCTGCTTAGATACCATATTTCTAAGCTTTTCAGGGCCGAGTACAATAACCTCAGTTTGATCTGAATTAAGAAGCAGAAAGTTAGCGGCCATCCAGGTCTTTATGTCTTTAAGACATTCCTGCAGTTTAACTCATTGGTGTGTGTTATCTGGCTTCATGGACAGATAGAGCTGGGTGTCATCAGCATAGCAGTGAAATGTATGCTATGTCTTCTAATGATGCTGCCTAAGGGAAGCATGTATAATGTAAACAGAATTGGTCCTAGCACTGAACCCTGTGGAACTCCATAATTAACCTCAGTGTGTGAAGAGGACTCTCCATTTACATGCACAAACTGGAGTCTATTAGATAGATATGATACAAACCACTGCAGATCAGTACCTGTAATACCTACAGCATGTTCTAATCGCTCTAATAGGATATTATGGTCGACAGTATCGAACGCTGCACTGAGGTCTAGCAGGACAAGCACAGAGATGAGTCCACTGTCAGAGGCCATAAGAAGATCATTTGTAACCTTCACTAAAGCTGTTTCTGTGCTGTAGAGCTCTGAAACCTGACTGAAACTCTTCAAATAAACCTTCTTGCAGATGATCTGTTAGCTGTTTGACAACTACTCTTTCAAGGATGTTTGATATAAAGGAAGGTTGGAGATTGGCCTATAATTAGCTAAGACTGCTGGGTCTAGAGATGCTTTTTGAGTAAAGGTTTAACTACAGCCAGCTTGAAGGCCTGTGGTACATAGCCAATCATTAGAGATAGGTTGATCATATTTAAGATCGAAGAATTAATTAATGGCAGGACTTCTTTGAGCAGTTTTGTAGGAATGGGGTCTAAAAGACACGTTGATGGTTTGGAGGAAGTAATTATTGAAGTTAACTCAGAAAGATCAATTGGAGAAAAAGAGTCTAACTTAACATCAATGGTACTAAGAGTAGCTGTAGATAATATTACATCTGTGGGTGATTATTGGTAATTTTTTCTCTAATGATAAAATTTTATTTGTGAAGAAGTTCATGAAGTCATTACTAGTTAACGTTAAAGGGATGGTTGGCCAACAGAGCTCTGACTGTTTGTCAGCCTGGCTACAGAGCTGAAGAGAAACCTGGGGTTGTTCTTATTTTCTTCAATCAGTGATGAATAGTAAGATGTTCTGGCTTTGCGGAGGGCTTTCTTATAAAGCAGCAAACTATTTCTCCAGGCTGATCTCTTTGCAGGGACGGTGGCGAGCACAGCAGACTCGTGAGATATTTCACAGAAACCTGAATGAATCAGAACTGCAGCCGATATTGTTCGGGTCACATAGATTTAAGTTACAGAGGAAGGATAAAGCTTCCATCAGTTATCAGCGACACCACAGAGCGACTGGACTACGAAGCCCGATTCTAGCGCGCTGTAGAATGGGAGGCTGGGATTTTGGACCCTTTCGTGTTCCTTTAGAGCGTACCGAGATGGCGTGTCAGTGCCGTGAGTGTGCAGTTTTCGGTAAACGGGGTCACGGTCTGTCAGGAACTGCTGGTCTGAGTCAGTAAAAAACAGGAAATACAAAAATGAAGTACTCAAACTGTTGGTCTCTTAAGTATTTGTGCTTGTTAAGGTCTCCAAAAATAAGTCCTGGTACTCTACAGTCAGTCCAGTTTAAAGATTATCTACAGCCCCACCCACCCGCCACCCCAGACACACGGTATATAACGTGTACGCACACACAGACACTTGCATAAGAGCAAATGCGTCAGTCCGCCCTGCCCACAGATAAAATGCAAAAAGAGCACAAAAGGTATGAAAATGTAAGAAAAACTCATGAGGAAAAGCTTTATATATCGTATTTATAAAAAAAAAAAAAAAAAAAAAGGAATAATACTTTGTTTTTCCGGAGGTTAAAGGGTTTGCAGTTAGCTACTGTCACTGCCCACGGCGCTGCTGCCGCCGTCACTGCTGGTGCTCGCCGTGTCCGCTCGCTCTCGCTTGTGGATCTGCTCGTGTGCTTTGAGGTGGCCCGACTGGCTGAAAGTCTTCCCGCACTGGGGGCAGGCGTACGGCCGCTCGCCCGTGTGGATCTGCTGGTGCGCCTTCAGGTGGCCGAGACGGCCGAAGCTCTTCCCGCACTGCGTGCAGCCGAACGGCCGCTCGCCCGTGTGGATCTTCTCGTGGGTTTTTAAGACGCCCGAGTTGCTGAAAGTCTTTCCGCACTGCGAGCAGGTGAAGGGCTTCTCGCCGGTGTGGATCTGGACGTGGTTGCGGTAGCTCGTCTCCTTGGTGAAGCTCTTGCCGCAGTGCTGGCAGCAGTACGGACGCTCGCCCGTGTGGCTCAGGTGGTGCGCCTTCAGCTCCTTGGACTGGCTGAAGCTCTTGCCGCAGGTGGTGCAGATGAACGGGCGCTCGCCGGTGTGCAGCCGCTGGTGTGAGCGCAGGTCGTCGGCTTTGGTGAAGCCTTTGGGGCAGTGGGCGCAGACGTACGGCTTCTGGCCTGTGTGGATGAGCTGATGCCGCTTGAGGTTGCCCGCTTGGCCAAAGCTCTTGCCACACTGCGAGCAGGTGTACGGCCGCTCGCCCGTGTGTATGCGCTGGTGCGTTTTCAGGTTTCCCAGCGTGCTGAAGTTTTTCCCGCACTGCGTGCAGGAGAATGGTTTTTCACCCTGCATGTTGCGAGGTTTCCTCACCGTCGGGCTCTGTGTTTTAGTCGTGACCACCAGACTCCCTCCTGCCCTTCCTGCTGCCATCATCGCCTCTGTGGAGGACTTCCCCACGTGTGCGGGCTGCAGCTCGTACAGCGCCCCCCCTCCGAACTCAGCGTCCGGTTTGCCGATGCTGTCCAAGTGCAGGGAGTCGGGGCGGAGCTTGTTGAGCTCCGTGCGCAGCTCGGCCATGTGGATGGACTCGAGGCCGTTGTGCTGCAGGTGGGCGGACATGGCGTTGGTCTCGGGGTACTCCGACTTGAGCGCGCTCAGATCGGTGGTGTAGTAACACTGTAGGTCCACGTGGTGGTCCGACTTGATGTACTCCAGAGTGTCAGTGACCTACAACAAGAAAACAGCTGCAGTCACATCTGCTCAACCTGAGCATCGAGCACATCAGGTCTGCTGACCAACATTTTATTAGTGAAGAAGTTATGAACGTTAAACGTTAACGTTAAAGGGATGGTTGGCTCAACAGAGCTCTGTTTGTCAGCCTGGCTACAGAGCTGAAGAGAAACCTGGGTTGTTCTTATTTTCTTCAAACAGGGATGATTTCTTATAAAGCAACAAACCGTTTCTCCAGGCTAAATGATAAAGAACAGCAAATCAGCCTCTGATTTCTGGTCTGCTCTCAGCGACAAAACCTCAAGGAAGACAAGAACTGTGACCTTCAGCTGCTGATGCAGCAGATGTTCATGCACTCATGTTTGATGGTGTTCTGCTGTTTTCACACTGCTGCGTGTCTGCACTCTGTTCTCAGACAAATCTTTGCATTTCTCTGCTCTTTGTTGCTATTGCTCAACTGACTCTACACTAAACTGCATGATAAAAGACTACAGCGGAAGCATCACTGTCAGTACTAGACAGCATTAATGTGGGCGGGGATTCAATCACACCCTTTCTGTCCACACAGACCTGCAGCTTTTATGAACCCCCACTAGATCTTGGAAGACTTCCTACAAGACGTCAGTGTGTGTGGGACGTTCACATCATCCATCGCGGGCCTGACATACCTCCATGGACGGCTCTTTGTGCACTTCCAGTTTGCAGGTGCTGGATTTTATACGCCTGTGCCACTCAGGCTTAAAAACACCTGAGTTCACCGAGGCGTGGCCCACACAGTGTGAGAATGACTTTATTGTGAATTCAGCTGTTTAAAAGGACAAATTTCACATGGCTGTGATAAAAACACACAGAGAGTCTTGTGTGACCGACCTCCATGAAAGGCTGTCTGAGAGTTTCAGCCCTGATCTGCTTTCAGACCTCGGACAATGACTCACCACGATTCATCAAATAACTCGATTATTCAAACTAACAGTTTTTGCTTCGATAGCGAGAATGCCGACACGCTCGACTTCCTTCATTGCAGCCATATCAGGGGTGGGCGATAGAAACGATATACGATAGAAACGATATAAATTTGGCCAACGATACAGATTTTGACTAGGGCTGGGCGATATGACCCAAAATTCATATCTCGATATTTTTTAGCTGGATGGCGATATAAGATATATATCTCGATATTTTTTTAAAGCCATAAAGTAAGAACAAAAAGAGAGTTCTTAGTCAAAGCTGTGTCCCAGATGTCACACAGGCACTTTTATTAACATACAGCACAGATGTACATGAAAAATACTCAAAAATAAATTATGAGCATTTATTAAATAATAATGCTCCATAAATAAAAGAAAACAAGGTTGTTTTTGTGCTAAACAAAGAGCTCACAATTGTGCAGTCAAAATGTAAACTAAAAGACGCTGAGCACAATAACAAAGACAGATTTCACAGCTGCTCTGTTCCCAAGTTTTACTGTGTGACTGATAGCCTGGAGTTTGAAATCCGCTTCATAACCACGTCTCTTACAGGTGCCATTTATGGTCCTTATACACACACAATACGGTAATATTACGTTGAAGCACAGTACGTATCACTCCGCGAAGCTCTTCGGTAGCCGTAATGCGCCGACAATCTATCAAGCGGTGCAGCTCCGTAGCTTAGCAAAGTCGTACTCAAACATTTCTGACAGATTGCTGAGCGCCGTGTACCACATAAAATCGGTTCGCGGCCATCAAGCACAACCAGAATTCATACATAAGGCGCGCTATCAACTTTTGAGAGAATGAAAGGATTTTAGGGTTAGCGCTGTTAGCTCGTTAGCGCGGTTAGCTCGTTAGCATGTTTAGCTCGTTAGCACGTTGACGCCGTCCAGCCCCACGCATGGGGCGATGCGCAGTAACTCGTTAACGGAGATTTGCCGTGTCCGTCTTGTCGCTGCCTGCACGTGAAGCGATGGGGGAGGAGGGGGAGTTGTCTTCAGTGAAGGCGAGGCGGAGTAACGTTGCGTAGAGACAAAAGTGGACGAAAGAGAGGCAAACTTGCGGCTCCACAACTATAATTATAACGTAACATAGACTATATCGATATAAAGGATATTGTCACATCTTATATCTCGTATAAAAATATATTGATATGTTTTAAAAACTCGATATATCGCCCAGCTCTAATTTTGACTATACCGCTCTATCGCGATAGCACATGTTGATGATGTCATCAAGCTGCGCCTGTTTTGGTCGAAAGCATCGCAGCGGCTACAACCATTATCATCTGCAAATTATGGCGGGCGACAGTCATAGCAAAGAGATGAAGCACTTTTGAAATATGGGGAAAGCCAAAAACTGCGCTTCCTCCACTTCCGTAACATTGATTCATTAATGTTGAATTCTCTCGCAGCTGTTCTGTTCCCATGTTGTTGCAGTATATTAATAACTAACCTCGTATTGTGGATGAATAATCTCAGTTGTTCTCCTGACTGAAGTTTGGCCCGTGTACAGCATCCTGCTATGCGATTGCATTTGTCCCTGACCACCAGAATCCCTCACGTTAACTTTTATCGAGTGGAAAAAAAGTTGGCGTTCATCCTCCAGCTTCACTGTGCTAATGTTATGCTAACATAGCTGTGTCGCTAGCAATCACGTAGCACATCATTATATACCAGCTAGCCCAACTTCAGTAACCCTACAAACGTCACTGCTGTTTAGTTTTCTGTCTTCATTTATGTTGGAAGTGGTAGCAGAGCTGTACGTTTGAATTAGTTTCAGAAATCTCTCAGTCAGAACATGCTATGAAATGTTTAGGTGGAAACTAGCGAGCTAACTTCCTGTTAACTTCTAACTCCGTTAAATTTAATAAATTCTGTTTTCATGGATGTTAAACTTAATTGTTACACCTGGTAAAGCAGCAACGCTGATGATTTAATTAAAGATGAAAGAATTTAGACGTTTTTAACTCTCAGTGTTCGTTTGACTTTGGGACCTGAAGCGGACGGAGTTTTGGACCCAGATTACTCTGAAGCTCCTCACTACAGCAGCCGTAATGCTCTGACGATCCATCAAGCAGTGCGGCTTACAAAGCTGTACTAAAACATTTTTTTAACAGATTTCTGCCAAAAATCGGTTTGAGGTCAGTAAGCACGACCAGGATTCATACATAAGGCACACTCTCGATTTTTGAGAACATTAAAGGACTTTAAGTGTGCCTTATAGTGTGGGAAATACGTTATACAGAAGAAAAGAATATATCGTGATATATATCGTTACCGCACATGCTTCAAATTATATCGCAATATGGATTTTAGGCCATATCGCCCCTACTTCATATTCAAATAAGTGTTCAGAATGATGCAGTGTGTGGTTTGTCCCTCTGAGCTGTTTAAATGAGATAAACAGGAGTGGGATCAGCTCAGGTGTTTGCTTTAAAAGGATTTGCAGTCGTGAGCCCGATGATGAGGAGAAGCTGAGAGTCCTCTCGGAGCTCCTCGCAGCGACGGCTCCCAGCTTCGTCTAACGACAGTTAGACGACAGTTTGGTATAACCTCAGCTCCCTCCATGCCACAGCAACAGACCTGCAGCGGCTCACTGAGGTTCTTCCTGATCCGAGGAAAACAGCATTTTCTTACTGAGCAGCTTAAATGTGGAACCATCTACACGAAGAAGGAACCTTCATCATAAAAACATCATAATGAACACAGTGAAGGACACCAGCGGAGGGAAGCCACTTCATGTTTTGGGTCATCTAAGATTTCCTCCATCGCTGACCCGACTCACAAAAGAGAAAAGTCACGACAACCATGTAAGACAGCAACACAACAGCAGACACTACTAAACTGCAGAGAACCTATTATGCACTTTGACCAAGAGCCACAGCCTTCTGATTGGTAGGGAGACAACCAATCAGAAGGTCAGTGGACTGAAGTGCCCTCGGGCAAGATACAGAACCCAGAGTGCGAGAGTGGGAATGTTAGACAAGGTGATTAGGCACAGGAAAGAGTGTTTGTAAATGAGGGTTGTAGTAAAAAGTCAGATAATAAAAATCCAGATTATCATTAATTGTGTAGTGCAGGGGTGTCGAACTGCAGGCCTCAGGTTTTAGATCTCACCCTGGGTCATCACACCTCAGTTCATTACCAGGCCTCTGGAGAACTGCAAGACACGTTGAGGAGGTCATTTAGCCGTTTAAATCAGCTGTGTTGGATCAAGGACACATCTAAAACCTGCAGGACACCGGCCCTCGAGGCCTGTGGTGTAGTGCTTTCCCACGAGTTCAGAGTCGTTCAGTCAGCGTGACGTTTACAGCCTGATGTTATCGAGCATTTCAGTCAGTCTGACAGTGTTGCTATGAATTATGCGATGGAAATATCTCCTTTCATAAATGAACCCTCAAGTGTTTACTACACTAAAGGAGCTCATAAAGCAGGGGGGTCCAACTCCAGGCCTCGAGGGCCGGTGTCCTGCAGGTTTTAGATCACACCCTGGGTCAACACACCTGAATCACATGATTAGTTCATTACAACTTCAGGAGATTTAAATGAGCTGTGTTGGATCGAGGACACCGGCCCTCGAGGCCTGGAGTCCCCCCATCCCTGTCATAAAGGAAGCACTGAGGCCCTTTCCTTCATATACAAACAGCTCTGACTCCAAGTCATCTCCAAAATGCTCTGATCTCCTAACACAGCGGTCTCCAACCTTTTTTGCGCCATAGGCCGGTTTATGCCCGACAATATTTTCACGGACCGGCCTTTAAAGTGTCGCGGATAAATACAACAAAATCAAACTAGTACCGGTACCGAAAAAAAGAAGATTTATTCATAACACACGTGAAAAGACCCAGGAAAACCGAGTAAACGATCAAAACGATAACAAAATAACGCTGAAAACCGATAAAAACCTGAAAACTACACATTTCACACCTGAGCCTCAACTCGCGCGGCCCGGTACCAAATGACGGGTCCAAGGCCCGGGGGTTGGGGACCGCTGTCCTAACAGGTTTTAACTTTGGGGATAAATCTTTGTTCGTAGAAATCACCAGAGTTCTGTGAACATCATCACCAGGAGCTTCTCTTAGTACAGCTGTCGTCAGATCAGGTCCAGAGTCTCATAAAGGGAGAGCACGTCTAAAAACACTACAACTTCTCAAATATGGCAAAAATTAAACTCAGTTATTCAAGTCACAGTTATCACTTCGTTGTGTTGCTCTTACCACTTTTAATAACCTCTGTATGCTTTGGTTTACTCACAGGGCCTCCTCACACTCCTCTGACCCTCAGGTGTGCGACGAGTTACCTGCCAACCACACACCTGAGCCCTGAGCTGACCCCTGGGCTCCTCCTGCTTTGGCAAAATTCTCAGGGTTGCAAATTTACTGAATTTTAATCTCTGCCGTGATTTTGTCTCCCCGCACTTAATTAAACACGATCTACCAATAGTGACAATTCATTCTTCCTACATGAGCCAATCACAGCTGTCCCCTGCACACCAGATTAAAGTCAGATAAACAAACAGGATGCAACCAAAAGCCACAGCGGAAGGTGAAGCACTCGCAAAGAGCGTAACTGATTGCACCGTCCGACAAAACATGACAACCTGCAGCATAACAGCCGCACGAAGGACGAGGAAAACAAGGCAGCAGCTGCAATCGTGAAGCGCCCGACATCACCTCAGATGTCCATAAAGGTGAGAGCATCCATCGCACTAACAACATGAAGTGGACGCACACTCACAGTGCACCTCGGATGGATCGTAAAACTTCTACAAAGATACCACCAACAACAAAACACACGCCACATCTTTACATAATATATTCAGACCTTTCAAACACAACAGAAGAAAAAAACAAACAAAAAAAAAAACAGCTTGGTGTTGACGGCGTCTGAGTTGGACTGAGCCTTTTACGCTGCTCTGACAGGATAAACAACCTCAGGGTTTCTGTTACATCAGCAGAACTTTAAATGGACTCTGGTGGGCACTTTTATTCACAGAATGTGAAAAACTTTATTTATACCCAATTTATGAAGATACTTTGAAAAAGCACGAACGACAATAACGATAATAACACAATAACAGCGTCGTCGCTCTCAGCTGCCGGCCTCTGGCGTTTTACCTGGGAGATGTAGTCGAACACTGAGCTCGGCTCGTAGTGCAACTTGTAGTCCAGCTCTGTTACGTCACTGTGGTGAAACGGCCCCAGGTGGTGGTTCCCGTGGTGCTCAGACTTGATGTAGTCGAGGCCACTGATCTCCATCTTGATCTGGTCCTGGCCCAGCTCGGCGGTGGACAGCGGCTGGATCTCTGACAGGTCCACGGTCCTGATGGGCTCCAGGTCACCGTCCTCCGGCTCGCTCTTCACGCACGGCAGCATCACCAGCGGCTCTGCGATCTCCGCTGCCAGTGAACTGAGCGTGGGCGTGGGACAGTCGGAGGAGAGGAGGGCCAGAGTGGGCGTCGGGGTTGAGCCGACGGGCCCGGCGCCGCAGTCCACCTGCAGGGAGGAGTCCAGCGGCAGGGGAGGCGAGCCGCATTCGGGGGGCAGGCCCAGGCTCAGGCACTCACTCTCCAAGTCTGTCATGGTGAGGGGGCGGAGCTAATCCTCCTCACCTGCTCCGTTTCAACACCTGAGGTATCGCTGAGGTTGGTAAAAGTCCTCCTCCTCCTCCACTCCCCTCCTGCTGGTGAAGTCTGCTGGCCCTCACAGGAGGGGGGGCTGGGGAGTCCCTGAGAGCGTCCTCTGGAAAACGATGACGTAGTGAAAGATCAGCCAGATGTCAGCAGGTACGGCTGACCATCACGAGCCTGTAGAGAGAAGACAGAGGAGTTGATTACCATGACAACAGCAGCTAAAGCCAATCAGAGTAACATGAGGAAACCCCCAACACTGCAGCACCTCTGAGCATGAAAGCCAGGTATGCAAGAAAGTTTGAAACCAGGATTCCCCCCGCCCCCCAGGGGTTTGAGGCCACCACCGTTAGTGTCCGGCCCTGGCGCCTAATGTGTGGCGACTGGTGAGACTCTACTGAGGTTTTGAGGCTGCACCTGCAGCATGAGCACGCCTGAAAAACTCAGTCTGAATAACTTTACAGCAAACATTTTTACACTTTCAGGGGAGCAGATACCAGCGCCAATGTTAGAGATGACTCTTGGGAACATCCCTATAAACAGCTGCTGCGGTTCCGTTTCTGCACTGGTGCATGACAACAGTAAGACTGCAGTCAGCCGGTCACCGCCATCATGCAGACAAAGCTGATGTGGTGGCAGATGTAAATGGGGCACAGGTCGGCCTGCAGAGGTGCGCTGTTTGCAGGAGCAGGATGTCATTAGAAGAGACAGTCAGCTGCTGCAGCTGTGTGTGTGCAGCGGCCTCCCACACACATGCACTGAAAAGTTTTCAGGTAAAGTAGAACAGCCTCTCTGTGCACAGTGCTGCAGCTTCCTAGCCTCCCTGCCGCTCAGGTGAACATTACCAGCGCTCCTCCCTTCCATATTACCTGTCACCCCGCGAGCACTCAGGTGGCCCCTCCACTCGCCACGCAGCCGCCGCACTGCCTGCCTCCCGGGCTGCTGGTGGTGGTTCTCCCCGGAGGTTGCTCCTCTCCGCTCTCGCTCTAACACCTCCACATTCTTCGCCAACTCTGCACAACTTTTACTGTGGTTCGCACACACAAACCCACGGCTGCCAGCGGAAGGACACGCTCCGCAGCCGCCTCACAGCCCTACAAAGACGGGCAGGCTGCCATGTCTATCTGGCTGGCTAGCTAGCTAGCAGCTAGCCAGTGGCCATCTTGTTTATCGTCTGCAGCCTGCTAAGCTAGCGCGCTGCTGCTGCTACTGCTAGCAGGGGGAGAAAGTGAGAGTGAGGCGGGGAGAGGGCGCAGCGGGGGCAGCGGTTAGCCTGGCCCCCTCCCCGGGGTTCCGGCGCTACGGCGAGCGGCTGACATCGCAACACAAAAGGAGCCAACAAACTACGGAGCCCGAGCGGCGGCACGGCGGTCATCTAGCGTCCGGCGGCGCGGTAAAACGGCAGGAAACCGAGCGGAGCGACGCGGCGCGGCGACGCCGAGCAGGCAGCCGATAACGGCCGGACGTTACCTGCGGGTGGTCCGCTTCATGGCCGGCTGGCTGTCCACCTTGGTTCGGCTCCGCTGCCCGTCACTCGTAGCTCACTCCGCCGGACCCGCCACGTCCACCTCGGCAGAACACCCGCCGCCTCGCCTCCTCTCCTCCCCTCTATCACTGACTAATTCCGCTCCCTCCCTCCTTCTTACCTTCCTTTCCTCCCTCCTTCCTCTCTCGCTTCTCCCCCCCCTTTCCTTCCTTCCCTCCCTCCCTTCTCGCTCGTGCACATACCCGTTCAGTCGGGTATGTAGGTAACTATGACAACGGTAGTAGGTGGGTACAGTTCTCGGTGTGTGCGCGCGCGGGGCGGGTATGCGCTCGCTACATTGTTGCAACACAGACACCGTCGTCCCCTCGCGCTCCCTTTGATCTCGGCTTGTTTCCATCCGCACGCGCCGGTGTGTTAATATGAATGAATAGGGAACAGCACGCGCCCACAGAGCCGGGTCAAGGCGGTCAAGTGCAGGCGAGTGACGTCAGCACGTGTCCATGGGGTCGGCGTCTTTTTTTTTTTTTTTTTTTATTACGGTGGGTATCAGCTGCTAAAACCGGGGTCAGCTAGCTGAACAAAAGCAGGTGGGCGTCTTTGAAAATATCTTTCAAATAAAATACTTTTTTTCCTGCAAAAAATATCAAAAATAAGAGCGCGCCGTCTGTCCTGCTACCAGTTCAGAATTTTACAGAAACAAGTTCAGGGTGTATGAAACAGCTGTAATTCGCATAGTTGCCAGTAGGTGTATGTAAAACTTGAAATTTATTCAAAGCCTTTTGAAATCAGATGACTGTTTCTGATACACCTTGTATTAATGCAGAACTGTTTTGTTATTGTTAATGTTGATCACAGTCACACAGATTGGCTGTCCTTATATGGTCATCTTAAGAGACCCTACCCGCCTGCTGTTTAAATCTGCCAATCAGGTGAATACTGGCTGAGGAGGAGGAGGGGGGGCAAGGTGTTTGTTTCAGGGCAAAGTGAAAGTGAGTGTGGTTTGATTCCACAGACCCAAATCCCCTTCAGGGGTCACTTAAAATCAAACAGGTGGGCCTACCCACTGTGGCGCCCCCTTGTGACAAGGCGATGCAGCTTATAGAAGCTTTGTGTCAAAGTTTGGTATTTTTAGCCTTTATGAACATTTTGTATTTGAGTCTAAATTTGGAAACACTTTAACCTCATACATACGTGGACTACGAATATTTCAAGACAGTATTTGTCTCTGAGGGTTTTTTTTTTTTATCTGTTTAAACAGCATTTTGTTTAAATGTTGAAGCAACCAGGTCAAGTTGATGAACATTTGTGAAATAACATTAACCTCCTAGGACCTGGCGTCCACATATGTGGACATCACATGTTGGGTTATTTAGACCAAAATACTCAATTTTGCTCTACAAGGGCCTGATATTCACTTACGAGGACATTATGCTGCTACTGTTCTATCAAAATTTTAAACGAATACCCTCATATGTGGCTCTTATTTTTCTTAAAAACAAAAATAAGGGGGAAAAAAATCTGGTAATTCTTTGTTTTTACATTCATCAGCCCCCAATATGCCCAAATATCAAAGAGAAATTAAAAATGCTGCCGTGGAAGAGTTCGGGTCTTAGGAGGTTAAAGAACAGTCAGCGTTCCAACCGGTAGTTATGAACATTTATTTGTTTCCTTTGAATGTTAACACTACAAAGTACCCATTCTGCTCGACTAAAACAGGCAATACATTTCTTTTTTTAAAAACAGCCACCGTAGCCTTCATCATCATCATCATCATCATGGCAGACCGTTGTAAGTTGGTGTTTAATGACATTCAGCCCATGCAGCGCTGATAAAACCAGGCACAAAGTAAACAACCAACACATCAGAGTCTGATAACTCACTCAGAACTGACACTGGTCACACAAGGTCAAAGGTCACATCAAGTCTGACCTTTAAAAAAAACAAAAACAAATCCTGAAGCATTCAATCTACCATTTGGCTGATGTCCATTAAAAAAAAAAAACACAATAAAATAAAAAAAAACAGGGAACATTTTATAAAAAGTATTGCATCACATCCAAAAAATGAGATGAACTGTTCTTTGACATACAGCGTTCATCAAGGTTAAACAGGAAGTAGAAATCCATATTTAAAGTTTAAAACAAACCCACCCCCGAATGAAGTTCCCCCGTGTCTTCACAAAGAGCCTGACTTACAGGAAAACCTCCAACTGGAAATATTAACATGAAAAAAACAAAAGAAAACAAACCCGTTCGCCCCTCATTCACACGTCTGTTCCCTGAGGAACTCCTCGCCAACTTTTAAGGATCTTTATTAGTTTTTCGCTCACACCCAAAGTTTTAACTACAAAGGACTGAAGTACGAGTACCACACAACCACTTTTCACTGCTAACAAAAAAGAAAAAGAAAAAAAAAAAAAGAGCTCTGCGATGAGATTGCACGAATGTTTCAGTACTAGAAATGATACGACGATGCGTTACAGCCACGGACCTCTTCTGGAAGAGAAATGCATCTGGTCAGCTACAAACATAATAAATGAATAAAGACCACCAGCAGGGAAATGTTACTCATTAATTATAACTTAAGAGACCTTTTACTACTACGTGAGATCAGGGTTTCACTCAATTTTCACCATCTGGAAAAAGTTCGCATTTTGCGTTGAGATTAGATCAGATTTAATGGAGCTCCAACATGGGCCTCAAACAGCACATAAACAAATGATGACAGTATTATCACGCATTTATGTTGATATCCAGGTTTTTAAACACAAAGTGTTACGCCACTCCTCTTCAAAGTTATTTCTAATATCATGTTTGTTTCTAGGCAGATGCATTCCTCTGTGTAAACAAGGACAGGAGGAGTTGTCATTGGTTAAACAGGTCACATGATATCTCCAACGATCAGTGGTCCGACTCTTCAGGGCAGCATTAAAGTCAAACAGACGAAGCTTGTTCCTACACACTGTACATAAAAGATGGACATAAGGCTGTTCTCTAGTGTCCAGCAGGAGGCGGCTCCTCTGGTCTAAATGGGAAAATGAGCATCCTGCTCAGCTGATCTGGGCTCAGCAAACCCTGTTCTGATGTGTTTATGGTTCAGGTCTGACTGAAGAAAACAGGAAGTTTATTTTGGAGATTTTGGTCCCATCAGTCACGGAGGGACAGGAAGTACGGAAGTCTGTGCAGAAATCCATCGTCTTAGATCACGTCTGCTTTCTGAAAGCTGAGACGGTAAAATCCATCAGCTCAACTCTTCATAAATGCGCTGACCACTGTTTATGCACATCTTTTACATACAGTCTATGGCCTGTGATGGCAGCTGTGTGACATAAAGAAAAAAAGGCCTGACGTCATCATAAACCTGTGATCTCTCATTCAGGTCATCTCCTCTGGCACCTCCGCCCAGTTTTCCCAGAGTTCTGTCCCATTACGCCGAGTGAAGCTGCTTCAGGCTTCAACTCTCAGGAAGTAAAATCTGACGAATGGAGCGATCCGGCCCGACCGATGGGAAGAATACAGTCTGGACTTTAGGTTCTGGGTTCGGTTAATTCTGTCAGCACAAGCAGCCACACAAGGTTTTCAAAAGTCCAACAAGTTCTCAGTTTTTACTGAAATGTAGAAATTTGAACAAAGCAGTTTTGTGGCTTTGTTCATACATGCACAGTTTAGAGGTCCAGAACCCTAAAATCATATTAAATAAAATAATAACAGTGCAAATTTAGCGCTTCACACATCTGAAGTAAAAGGAGAGCTCTGGGCTTCTGTCAGGAAGGCCACGGAGACCCGAGGATTCACGGAGCAGCTGAAAAAAGCTTTTACGTCCTGATTTATCCGCCGCCCGGTGTTTGGCATTCCTCATCTGTCTACAGCTTTAACCACCCCTGATACATGAAAACTAAAGTAGAGACCAAAGAAACGCCCCACAGCCACGTCAGGAGTGCCAATGTTGGAGTCTGTCCACCAGAGGGCGCTCTGCCACGTTCCTATTGGCCAACACAGTTGATGGAAAGGCTGCTGCAGAGAAGGATGCTGGGATAGGGCAAACTGGTTAATCAGTCAGCTGAAGAACAGGAGAGAGCGAGGGACGGCTGCAGGAGGCGCACAAGGAGGAAGCCTTAAAGAGAGATCGGCCAAATTGAGCTCAGGATTCGGATTTTCTGAACTTTAACGGACCGTCCGATCCTTCTTCCACCGGTGCGTAAAAACCACAAAAGCGAGCTTTTCTTATCACCTGATTTTGTACACACGGAGCAGCCACAGTCCTGACAGGAAATTAAACTTCTGTTTGACAATAAAAAGAATTTCATTTTTACTGTGTTTACATACACGTTTAAATTCTTCACTAATGTAAACAGTTATTTACTCAACTTGATATCAAAAAACCAAAAAAACAAACATTTTTTGTCAGATTTTGGATTCCGTATGAATCAAACCTTCAAAGAATAAAGTCCTAAAAAACAAAGAAACATCTCATGTCGAGTGCTTTTTATGTCAGACCAGGCCTGGAAAAAAAACTAAAATCTGCTCGTTGATCAGGTGAGATTTCGCCGCTGCGCTTCAGCTGAGGTAATGAGGTCTCATTGAAACAGGAAGTCAAAGAAACACTTGAAAAATGAGGTACGAAAACGAGACGAAGCGGTCGGTGAAGCAGAGACAGGACAGTAAAAAAAAAAAAAAAAAAGTCTGATTTTCGCCTGAGGTGACCAGAGTTCTGGATCCTCCAACGGTCAGACGGCCCCGGCTCGCAGACGGTTTCATTTTGTGCATTTCTGGTCCTTGTTCAAATTGAACCACGGAGCTCTGCAGAGCTCGCCGTCGTATTGCTTCAGAGTTGAAAAAAAAAGGTTCACACATTTACACAGCGTGAAACAACGGATTCTGTGATTGTTCGTGCTGACGTTTCTCAGAGATAAAAACTAACTCTCAGGATGAATAACTTCCTGTCACCTGATCCTTCCTCCCTCCATCCTCTTCCTCCAGCAAAACATGAAAACGACACGCAGAATAAATCTTTAGATTTTCTTATTCAGAGTTTGACTTGGCGAACACTAAAAGACTTAAAACAGATGTTTACGTTGCATTTAACTATTTGACAGAGTGAAAAATTTGAAATTCGTAATGAAAAATGTAAGAATGCAAATGTTAAAGCAAAAAAATTTAATTCAGGGGGAAAAAAATTGCCACTCAAAGTGAAACCCAATGTTATGTTTTTTGGTAGGAATGGGCTTCCGTAGAGGACACAGCAAACTTACCAAAGGTCAGTTCTTAGAATCAGTTCCAGCTGATGAGCTACGGAAGCCCAGTTGTGCAAGAAAAGTGAAGATTTTGCCTTTATAAAATCAAAATGTTTCACAGCCTAGTAAATCCTGAATTAATGAAGAATAAGTCAAAGTTTCAATCTCATAATCCAGCCTTCATGATAAAAACTGACTGCAGTTCCTCTGACGCCCAGCAGAGGCAGCAGTGAGTCAGCCCCCTTAGACTCCCATGTTAAAATAAACACGTTGGTCTCTGTGGATCATTTCCTCCTTTGTAGAACCTGTACGGGGCAGAACGTTTTCACAACTCACCTGTTTAAAGGTTGCATTATTAGGGGCGTGGCCTCAGATAGGTGGTTGGTGACACAGGCGGCTGTAGCTGCTAGCTTCACCTCACCCCATAATATGACTGCTGTGAGCTCAGCTGGTTTAACCAGTCTGAGCTGTGGGTAAAATGCTAACGCTGAGGCGACTCGTCGCTTCATGGAGTTCAATTATGTCTGAACAACAAAATATGAGAAAACAAAGAAATTCTGCAAGTGTGACACATTTTGTGTTGGTGAGATGGAAGGAGGAAGGAGCTCACCGCTGAGCTTCGCATTGGAACTGAAGACCCCTCCGATGGACAGGAAGTTGTTCCTTCCCTGTGTGTTTTCGTCCTCGGAGTTGATCGAGGAACGCTGATAAAACCACAGACATGGACTCAACGATAATCCAAAGAGAAACCTAAAAAAGGGCACTTCAAAACCAAACGAGTAGAAAACGTGTGCACGCCGCACAGACACAAACCAGCAGGCAGCGAGCAAAGAAGCCAAAACAAGCCTACAATTTACAGGAGGAGGATGTGCGTGTTTTCCCTCAGTTACCCCTGACCTTTGACCTCCTCCGCCTCAAAAGTTTCTGCACTGGTTCAGATTCACGCTGTCGAGTCACCTCCAAAAAACGTTTCCAGGTTCTCAAATGTGCGAATTGGCCTCCGTATAAACCCAAAGACATGCAGACTTTACACCGATCTTCCTCCTGAATTTGAGGCTTTAATTTTGAAATTGTTCTAATAAACTTCAAATAAATGTCAGATTTTTCCTCGCTCGTCTTCCTGTCAAACTGAAATCAAACAGTTTCAGCAGTTTGTTCCAGACCAAACGTTAGTAAACGTGACAATTTTAGATTTCTTTCTGTTTTGAGCTCAAATTTCAGAAAAATTACTGAATTAAAAAAAATAATCTGAAAATAACCGAAACGAACTTCAGACGCAGCCCGCGACTGTGTTCTGTTTTGTCTAAAGTTTTTCTGGTTGAGAAATAAAAAAGTTAGAGACCTGAAAACTTTCAGGAATTTTAAATATTTGAAGAAACAAACATCAAAGTTAGAAAAAAAAAACTTTGGCAGAACGTTTTCGTTCTAACGTTTCCTGTCGCTGAGCCGGATCGTTCAGAACCCGGGATCCTGCTCCGGGGGTACCAATGAGAGCAGGCCGCTCTGATTAGAGGTCAGTTTTGCAGTTACTTCCTGTGGCCTTCCAAACGGTCTGTGTAACAGAATAAAACGTCCCGCTGCTCTCGCCTGCGTACCGTCTGGTCCCAGATCAGGATTGGTCGCTGTGATGCTGAGTCCGGATGTGGCTGTGGAGACGTGTTGCCGAGGAGAACCTTTTACCGCAGTCGGAGCAGCGGAGTGGCGAGGCAGCTCCGGCGGGCGGCGATGAAGGCGATGATGTGGCGGCGTTTCCAGCGCTGTGAGTCTGGCGGTGAGCCTTCAGGAGGGCTATCCGGCTGAACCTGCGGCCGCACTCCTCGCACTCAGACCAAACCCGCCGCCGCTTCCGCTGAAAGACAGGAAGAGATGTCAGCTCGCCATCTAAACATTAAAAATCAACCTTTGTCTGCTTCCTGCCCTCTTGCGCGCTCCTCACCTTCATCCCTTTATCCTCCTCGTCTTCCTCCTCTCCCTCCTCCTCCTCCTCCTCTCTGCCAGTCTGAGCAGGCAGCTCGACGGCGTCTTGCGGCCTGATGGAGCCGTCAAACGCCAGACAGCCGAGCGTCTCCTTGGCGGTGGCTTCCTCATCGTCATCGAGCAGCTGGGAGGGGAGCGTGAGGAGGCGATGAAGCATGGAGGCTGAGGACCGTTGACCTGAAGGAGGGAGCGAGGTCAAAGGTCACGGTTTCAGATTCCTCTCAGTGTCAATAAAAACATCATCAGATATTTTTACAAACACTAAGTTTTCTGACTTTTTATTCATGAAACTAAAAATCATGCATCCTGTTTCGCCCACTTCTCCTTATCAGGGTCATGGGGGGTGGAGCCTATCACGGCTGTGACAGGGTGAGAGGCAGGACACACCTGGGCAGGTCGCACCCAAAACTAAAACGCAGCCATGCAATATTCATACATATATGTATGAAAACATATACATACTGGAAAAATACATATTAGTACATATAACTGATCATTAATGTTGCTCTTTTTATAGGATCCAGTTGTTTCCATTCACGCTGCTTTAGGAAGCGTAAACTTCACTGTCACGCTCTCAGATGTTAAAATGTTACTACTGAGTATTTCCTTCTTATTTAATCACACATAAACCTGTTAATGTTACATTGTTTCCTGAAGCACTGAGGATAAACTGCAGGTGCCTCACATGTGGGGCTGAGGGGGGGTCCGGGTGGAGGTCCGGGTGGAGGTCTGACAGCGGCGGCAGCGCTTATCAGACTGCCCGCAGCTTCATCTTCATCGGGAGAAAACACCTCCATGTCCTCCAAAGGAGTCCAGCGGGGGTCCTGCTGTGGGGAGGAGGGGGAGGGCTCCAGGGTCACTGCCGGGGTGGGGGCGGGGACAATATGAGTCACACTCTCTCCTAACCCCCGCCCACTTCCTCCTCCTCCACCCCCGCCAACCTCTTTGACGTTCCAGACGTCGCTGCACCACTTCTGACCGAAGACTTTGTCCAGGATGGGAACCCAGTCCTGAGAGACAGACAGGACGGGGGGACGCTCCGGGACTGGGGGGGGTAAAGAGGGGGAGGAGGAAGGTTAGCTTCAGCTAAAATAACAGTCACTCCACACACCTGATCTGACTCACCTGTAGAAACACAAAACAGGACACCAGCCACACCCAGTCAGGCTCACTGACAGCCAATCACAACCAACCAGCCGGTCAGAGTACGACACTCAGTTCCTTCCAGCTGATCACTCACCGTGTGTCTGCGGCGTCTCTTTGGACGCAGTGACCACAGCGACCTCCTCACGGGCGTCTTCTGAGCCGCTCGGGGACACAGAGTCGTTCTCCGAGCCCCTCCTCCCCCTACCGCCGCCTTTCCCTTTGTCCCCGCCTCCTCGTTCAGCGCCCTTTCCCAGCCTCTTCTCCAGCAGCTGCTGCTCTCGCTCCATCTTGGTGATCTCCAGCAGCAGGTCGTCGAATGACGCCTCCACGATCTTCGTCAGCTCACGCACGGCGAAGTCCAGGACGTGCTCCATGACGGACTTCAGCTGGTCTGTGGAACAGAGATGGGGGCGGGGCTAATTATTGGAGAGACTGGCTGTGAAATCACAGTTCATGATGAAACAGGTTGCAGGGCCAGCTGAACAGCGCCCAGCAGGGCAGAGCTTCACACAACTAAAACAACTATTTTCTGAAACTTTGATTGATCGATTGATTGGTTGGCTGATGGTTCTGTCACAGTGACAACGACTTTCATTAAAGCTGCTAGCAGCCGAGCAGCCGTCGCGGATCAGAGGATTTTCAGCACGCTACGATTCGGGGATACTTCAGTGACACTCTGTGAAACTCAGGCTTTCACCAGGTTCACCAGCTGTCAAGCATCGTCTGACCGTCAAAGCTTTTCCCTTCAGCATCGTCATCCTTTCTATCCACACACAGCAGTGTGACCTTTGACCTGTGGGTTGTGTATGAGGACGTTAGGAAGTGAACTGATGCTTTCTGACGCCGCCATCGCTGATATCCTGAACTCTGGCGATGCATGACAGTGACCTGGTAATCTCGGCGTGGGTGGGGCTCAGCAGCGTGTTTGTGTGCTGCAGTCGACAGATGTGCGCATGCATGCGAGAGAGCGTCTTTTATCTCCTGCTCACATGTCCCTGCATGTGGACGCTGCTGCAGTGCAGTGAGAGAGAGAGTGTGTGTGTGGCGTGAAGACCTCAGCACAGCGGGCGCTCATCGTGGGGTTACTCCGATTCAAATCATTTCCTGTTTTTTCCTTCAGTCTTTGTGGGAATTTCAGGATAAAGTGGAGTCCCTCACACTCCTGACGTCTTTCCCGCTCGTGTGATAAATTAAATGTTTCTCATCCTTAAACACGGCAGCTGCTGAACAGCGAGCGGACGTTTGCTCGTCAGACATTTTTCCAACCTGCTGTGCAGTGAGATCATTATGTAAACATCTGGAAAAAGTCATGTTATTGAATCAAAGTGCTCACAGTTTAAAACCTGCAAAGACGGCATAAGCAGAGCTCAGAGCTCTTTGGGTCTGTCTGAGCGAGCGCTCAGGAGAATCCTGCCGCAGGGACCTCACTGTAATGGCGAGTAAGGCGAACACACCGTGCGGGGGTGGATTCAGTTTCTGCATCCACGAGTCCACTCGGGTCCGACTTCAGCGTCATGGTGAATCATCCACAGAGAAACACTGACCGAGGAGGATTTCAGAGCAGCGTGACAGTTACGAGTTTAACCTCAGACTGAACCAACGCAGCTGGACTCGGTCAGAGCGCAGGGCGCCAACAGAAAATGTGCCGACACATTCAGCCTGAAACGAGCACGTAGGCGTGAGACGCCAGTCTGTAATGACCTCCTGACTCCAGCCGAGCAGTTTCCTGCAGGGTGATCATGACCCGACAGGACGGGCATCTGTGCGGTCATCACCTGTGTGGAAGAGTACTGAAATCGTGCCACCAGCCGAATCAGCTTCGTGCTGTGAAGTCTTTTCTTTCCACATGATTCTCCGGCAGGCTCCTCCCACCTCCACAAATGAGGAACGCCACACTTGCGGACACCCGTGGCCCGGAGCGGTCGTGCTCCGGCTGATGAATCTGACCCGACATCCATGAAACGTCACTGAGGCGTCACTCAAGTCACTGCGTCAGGTTGATAGTCAGCATGTCCTCCTCCCTTTCTCCTGCGGTCTTCTGCATGCCCCCCTCCTCCTCACCAGCACAACTCCTTTCCTGCGGGAGGGCGTGGCTTGTTTTACGATCCTCAGGCTGCACACCTCGCTTTTTATTTTCAGCCCTGCAGCGTTCACACTCGAGTTCCTTGACTTCTCCTCGTGAAGCTGCAGCGTTACCGTCTCTGACGTGATGCTCAGACGGACGATTACACGCAAACGAGGCGCTGAGTCCACGTTTCTCTGCAGGGTCACTGCGTCCAGCTTCACCTGTATCACAGACACATTAGAACCAATGGAAATGCTCCCCCGGCACACGAGTGTTCTCGTCCAATCACCTGCAGGCGTCACCTTTTTTCATCGAAAAGATGACATCACACCTGCACGTGCTAACACGTAGCATCGCCTCCAAACGCCACAGCCAGCTGCTCTCAGACTGGTCGCAGTGTTTCCATGGAAACCAGTTTGAGCCCGTGAAATACAGTCAAATCCAGCGAGCTTCCGAATGTCACGAAAAAACCACTAAAACACGTGGAATCGTTCACAAATCATCAAGTAACTCTGTCCACCGAACACTGCAGGCTCCTGGATCAGGGCTCAGCGGGCGCTCAGGCGTCCCACCACACGGTGTTTTACGGTTTCTTGTTGAAGGCTGACGTCCGGGCGAGGTCACCGTAAGTCGACCTGGAAGGACGCAGAGGTGGCGTCCGACACGTCGTTTGTCGTCCACCTGAGACCGAACACTGTGTCGGACGGCGTTATTGTTTGGAAGCTGATTGTTCAGTTATGGATGACGTCATAATTACGTTGAATTTGTCAGAACTAAAGTGAAACAGTGTGGAGCACGAGGGCTGCCTCACAGCGCCTCCTGCTGGCCAGCAGGCATATTTGTTTGTTTGTTTTTGGAAAACGGGATTAATAGGAAGTGAAACGTGTGTGTGTGTGTGTGTTGTGTAACGGGTGCCTACCCACGACTCGTCCTCTCTGCTCCAGACGGCGTGTGTCGGTGGGCACGCCAGGCCCCGTGCCCTGTCCCCCGGGCTGCTGCTCGGGTTTCGCCCGCCCGCTATCCGCCCTCTCCCCGGCTTTGTTCTTACCAGCCACCGGGGAGCCTCCTCCTCCGTCGTCTGAAGCGGAGGCTCGGCCCCGTTTCTCCCGCGCCTGGAGCTGGAGCCCGAGCCGGCGGTTTTCCTGCTCCTTCACGGCCGTCTCCAGCAGGAGGCCGTTCAGGCTGGAGCCCACCGTCTTGCTTATTTCCTGGACAGCGAGCTGAACGACTTGCTCGAGCACGGACTCCAGCTGGCCCTGGAAGAACGACATATACACGGCCCCGTTCATGTTTGCGCGCCCTGCGGTGTGAGGGCTCTCTCATTCTTCTGTGCCCGAGCCCCCAGCCCACCGCCTGCCCGAGTTCCCGACGGAAATCTGGGTTAAAATCGGCGGCGGGTCGCGGAGCTCCTCCAGCGGCTCTTCGGCGCTGCTGCTGCGGTTGCTGCTGCTCTGTGAGTCGCGCGTGTTCAGCCGCTCCGGAGGAGGCCGGAAAGACCCGAGTAGAGGCGCAGCAGCCTTTTCCCGCACACATGTCTTGGCCCACGCTCGCGCCCTTGCAGTCAGTCACGCCATTTTGGCTGTGAGGAAAATAACATCAGTCATTCCCAAACATCAGACTGCAGCCTGCAGCTGGCCCGGGGCCAGCCTCAGTATCTGCTGCAGCTGCTCATAGATGTGTTCCAGCACACAAAAGCACCATTATTAATTAATGTGAATCCTAAACTCAGTGACCTTATGCATTTAGTGGAGCCGCAGCACACACTGTATATAAAAGATGGCCACAGGCTACTGTTGCCGGTGAGCTCCGTCCTTTGAAGCCTCGCCTCCGTCACCGAGCTGGATCTTGGAGCCCGAAGTGAGGGTGGAGTTATCAACTTATGCTAGCATGCTAGGTGTGCAAGCTGCTTGATCCACAGGGAGCATCACACAGACATATGCTAATTAATGCTAGCATCCCAACGTTATACAAAGGCGGATTCAGGCTTCTGTGGGGAATCTTTGCATCACTGTTGGTATTTCTGCTCATGCTTAGCATTCTGTGTTAGTGTGGTCTTCTCTCGCTGATTTAGAAGCGATATCAGATGATGGAAAAATAAAATGATAGGACTTCCTCTGCTCCTGGGTCCTTGCTCTCTGGTTTCTCAGGTCAAACATATTTGTCCCTCATGGTTTTCCAGTTTGCACGTTCCCGACAGCTTCGTCAGTCTCTCTGTTCAAGTCACTTCAGGATTACTTATTAGCACCAAATCACAACAACAGTTGCCTGAAGTTGCTTTGGTATTAGTGACTCCTCACGTTGAAGCTGTAATTGTGGTTCTCTGTGCTGATTGTTATTCACAGATAAACTCAAACAGTGGGTGAAATGCTCCTGAGGAAGCGATGCTGCAGACCAACCGCAGTAGCTGCGGTCTGGGTCAACCCGATGTGTCATGAACTTTTTCTGCAGGGTGCAGATGGGCGACCTCCGTGGGGCGTTCCCGCCCGTTGTTGTTTGGCAGCTGGGATGGTGGGATAGGTCTCACCGTGTACTCATCCACAAATAATAACCATGAAGACTGAAACTGCTGAGCAGTGCTAGCTTTGAAACGCTGCCATCTCTGAGTGTTGCACACCAACAGGAATTTTCCCACCACATGCTCAGTAATCCAGGTGAGACAGAACAGGAAGTTGCTGCTGAGCGTGTCCCTCAGTGTCAGCTGACACATTATAAACAGCACAGCTGCAGAACTGAAACCGGCAGCACTGACTAACAATGAGCCAGCAGCTCGTTTTCATGGTGTTAACGTGCAAACTGTCCACTCATGCAGGCCACGATCCACGCTCTGTGAGACAGCACATAGCCTCACACCTGCAGTGTTACCATGGTGAAGTAGAGCACCTTTATACGACTGTTAAAGTTTATTCGTTAGACTCAAATCGACCTCTGAGAGGAAGCATCAAGACAAACACATACAGACACACACACTCTCTGATGGATGCATCGGGGAAACTCTGGGTTCTGTATCTTGCCTAAGGGTGCTTCGACATGCAGGTTGGAGGACGCAGGGAGTGAACCCCCAACCTCCTGACCCCACCCCAAACATCTTAAATTGGGAGTTAGTAAAATCAGAGGAGCTCGATGCCTCTGCAGGTGCTCAGGCTGAGGTCGTGCCGGGTTCCTGCTGTGTTCAGGAGCCTGGTTTCTGTCGGTTTTCTGAGCCACATGCGTCGCAGGTTTGCATTGGAAATGAGTCAGCCTTTGTTTGTGCAGTAAAAACAAGTCTTATGTAGGCTCATGAGCTCTGTACACAGAGCTGCCCGTCCACCAGAGACACGCTCACTCCCATTGAAGAGCCATCTTTCTTTTCTGTCGACCAACGAAGCCACGTGCAAACGCGTGTTTCACAGAGTTCATAAAGCTTTGACTCAGAGTCACCTGAAGCCTGATTCAAGTGTGCTGCTGAGGTATCTTTAATGTGCCGTCAGAGATGGAAGAATCTTTGTTGTGTATCGATGTGTTAGATAACCAGGACTTTGATCCGATGTCGATATCATTTTCACTGTTAAAGGCAGAAGCAGTGGATATTTGTGTGTTGGAGGGCTGGGAGGAGGTGGAGTGACTCACTTCACCGCTCACATCTGAGGCTCGGTTTGACTAAGACAGCTGACAGATTTTTACACTTAACACGGATTTGAAACAGAACAGACTCAGGATCAGATGCTTTCATGACACCTGATGCAGATGGGTGTATTTAACTGTCATTGGCTGCTGGGAGATGTGATCTGTGTCTGCAGGTCTGGGTGAGGCCAGCTCCCACAGGCGGGCCCTGCTCTGGTGTCAGGGACCTGCAGGGATGCTGCTTTTGCGCCTTTATTTCGGGATTACGTCACTTACAACATAAGTACCCCCCCCCCCCATCCCCTTCCCCACCTCTCTCTGATTGAGCGCATGCCGCAGAGAAGCGACACGCCCCCTAAAGTCTCGTGCGCCTCTTCTAGAGTTACTACGGCAATCACGTAAAATCGTTGCTTGAGAAGAGGGCGGGGCCTTCCCGTCGATCATCTGCGGCTTTGTTGTCGTGAGAAGCCGAGCTGCACCTGTCCCCCTCCCGCAGCTCTCCGTCCTACCGACCCGGCCTCCAGGAGCTCCAGGCCGCCGCGGGGCTCCCCTCCGCCGTCTGCAGAGGCAGGGGCGGCTCGGTTGGTGAGACGGAGAGCCGCGGGAAGTGGTTTCATCATTTCCTCCTTATTTGTGTTGTTTACCGCGTCACTTACATAAAGGAGGAAAAGGCCGCGTTAATGTCGGAGCTTCAGTTTAATCTGAGCAGGAAGAAGCACTTTCACTTCCGGCCTCAGATCCACGAAAATGCTCTTAAACACGTCGCGAGCCCCATCGTAGCAGAGCCACAGTATGGAAGCTCATTCGTGACGAGATTTTTCGAGCGTAAGAAAAAGTATATTTTTTAATTAATTCTTAAGTTATTGTTTAAAAAATGCTGCTTTGGTCTAACTGACGGGGGAAGTCAAAGTCAAAGTCATTAGTTGTTTTTTTAATTAAACTTTTAAAATTAGAATTATGGAAGAAATAAAGTGAAAGGTCAAATTTTTAAACAGTTTCTTTAAATTGTTTTTGATAATAGTTAATTCTAAATCTTAACATAAATAATAATTCAAACAACTTAATTTATGTTAAATTTGTTTTGGAATACAAACATCAGCACCATAAACAGACTTTAACTTAAAACTAGCCTCACGAATTCAAAGCAGGGCTTAAAGTCAGAATTAATTAACCGAAATTCAAATTTTTTAATTCAAAATGTTTAGAGACGTTTTTATTCCACTGATTGGGTTTTAAGTCTGAATTAACAGTTAGTCTATGAAACTATAAACATCACTTTAACACAGAAACATGGAGGTTGTTTCTGAGCTGCTGGTTTCTTCTTCACTCTGAGACCACAGAAACCTCCTCAGATCGCTGGTGGAGGATGGCGCTCACCAATAATTCATAAGTCCTTCTCAAAACAAACCCATCTGCTGCTTTCTCCTGTGATGGGAACAAAAAATCAATTTCCTCTTTGTCAGCATAATGCCAGCTGTGACAGATGTGCTTCATCTGTTACGCTTGTGTTTGTGCAGGAGGCAAGCACGCCAGCTCCGCCTGCAGACACAACAGAGGGAGAATTAACCCTCTGACCGTCAGACTTTAGCTTCATTAAAGCCACAAGCGTCAGACTTCAGGAGGCGGAGCTTCGTCAGATTTATTCCTAACAAACTGAGAATGGAAGTTAGAATTGAAGAATGCGCCCACCAACACTTCACGGTCCATGTAATCCCACTTTTTCCTGCCTTTGAGTTTAGTTACTTCCTGAAGTATCTGCAGCCTAATGAGAGTGGGTTTAATGAGGGAAGGACAGAAGGAGGAAAAGAAGGATGGAAGGAAGAAAGAGAGAAACAAGGATAAGAAAATGGAACGACGGAAATCAAGGATTAAGGGAAAGAAGTTAGAAAACAGGAAAAGAAGGAAGAATTAGGGAGGAAAGAAAGGAGTAAAAGTAGAAAGGAAGTGAGGAAAAGGGGAAGGAAAGAGACGGAACGAATGAAAGAAAGAAGAAAGAAAGGAGAAGGAAAGGACAGATGTAGGGACGGAAGGAGAGAAGAAACGTTAGCAAAGAAGAAAAAAAGGACAGAAAGCAGAATTAAAGAAGGAAGGAATCAAGAAAGGAAGGACAGGAAGAAGGAAGGATGGAAGGACAGATGAAAAGCATGAGAGAAAGAAGGAAGCAAAAGGACGGTAAATAGAATCATGACATAAGTAGGAAACTTTGGGACTATTGACACATTTCTTTCCCTTTTTTACTGAATAAGGAGCTTCAGTGCTTCTTTCATTACCTCCTTAGGGTAGGTAACACTGGAGCATCCTTTATGAAAAGAGAGGACATAATGACATCCCATAATTCATAGTGTAGCTGAGACTTGATAGAAACCTGATGGTGAGCGAGGTCAGAGTGAACGAGTGGCCTTGTCTCAGAGGACTCGGTGGGACGGGGTCGGCTCGTGGAGACTCCTTCCTCCAGCTTTATCTGCCCGGCCGCGTTCACATATGAACTCTTGCCTTTAATTGTCTCCATTAGCAGCCGGAAACCCGGAGGAGCCGGGCTGTTTGGGCCTCTTTTCTCTCCGGATCATTTCTGACTGAGACGAGCGTTCCCGGGCCGGTGTCCAAGGCACAGGCAGTAAAATCCCTGTAACTACAGGAGTCGAGCGCACATAGGCCTCGTAAAATGGAGCGGGCCCCTCGCTCCACATCAGCCATGAACTCTGAGAGAAAGACGAAACTTTGACTCATGGCCGTGAGGAAGCGTGGAGAAACCAGCCGCCGGGTGACGGATGTTCAGAGACGGGAAAAAATGAAGTGCAGGAGCCAAACAAGTTTAGAGGTTAGCGTTTGTTACCATTGGCTCGGTGCTCGGCCATTTTTAATGGCTGTAACTCCGTTACTGTTTACACCAGGGAGGAAACTCAAATTGTTCCCAAAACATGAGAATTGTTTTGTAATTTTACAACCAGTCGACTGGATGATTCTGTTGAAGGGTTAAAATGATGAGGAAGAGCTGACATCTGGTCCGTCTAATTAATACTTACTTTAAATATTAAAATAAGTTACAGTGTTATGATGGTTTTAGGAGTAAAAGGAATAATAAAACCTTTTCTTCCAAGTCTATTCAAACATCTTTAAACATTTTAAAACATAAAAAACACATCTGGTTAATGAACTGTGAGGCTGTGTTTGCTCCTCTCAGACTGTCAAACAGTGCTGTAGTATAAGGAGAGGAAACTCAGTTGAGCTCTGGGACCAAAGCTCACGCACTCAGTTTCATTTCTGGCTTTTAAATTTCTGGCTTTGACAGACACATGAACTGTGGAAGTGAAACAAAAGATAAAAGAGGAACGATCAGTGCAGAGAAGGCCACAGGAAGGGATGGAAACCCCACTGTGTGTGTGCGCGCTCGTCAGGCTGTCTTTGTGAGGACTGGTTTCATTTTTAGTCCTTACAGGGACGATGAGTCCAGGTTTCACATTTACGGAGCTGCTGGAGGGTGCACACCGGACTCCAAGGAACAGGTTTAGCTGCACTGAAAGAGAGTCCTCACAGAGATGGAAGAACACACACACACACACACACACACACACACACACACACACACACACACACTGCCCTTCAGCCTCCTCCAAGGTGAAAGTCTGCTGCAATGTGACAACAGACCAGCAGGGGGCAGAAGAGACAGCAGAGAGACATCAGGAGGAGGAAGTCTTCAAAGGACCTAAAACTGTAATCTTTGGAGTATTTTTACTTTTTCTGAATTCAGAATTTTACACGTTTCTCCGTCTGTTTTTTACATTTTTTAAATTTCTTTCTTCCTTTCATGTTTCTTCTCATCTTTAAAGCTGTATCGTAGGAGGACAGGAGGATATTTAGCAGCTGTGATTTAACTCAAACATGGTGAAGTTTTAAAAAATAAAACTTTAATATTCTTGTAAAAAATCCCACTTTTCATTTGCTCTTTTATTTAAAAGTGTCTCTTTGGCTTTTTCCATGTTGCCCACCATGTATTTGTTTTTGTTTTTTAAAGGTGTTTTCATATTTTTGATGCAGTGTTAAATTGTAATTTTTGTAATGTTTTTACATTTTTGTTTCTGAAGTTGTTTGAAGTCCTGTTGGATGTTTCATAAATATTATTAATTTAATTAGTTTTTAAATTAATCTTTACATTTAAAAAAACAAATAAATAATTTAATTAATTAACATCTCCAGATTGTTCCTGTTAAAAGGGAGTTCTTCCTCCCCACTGTCACTGAGTGCTGCTCGGGTGGAATCGTCTGATTGGTGGGTTTCTCTCTGACATTGACACTGAGGTGACTGTTGTTGTGAATTGGTGTAGAAACTGTCATCACTTCTTCAGGAAGTTGTTTTCGTGGTTTCACAGTCGTGACAACAGTTTGACTACAACTGCAACTTTTCTGCTGAGTCTGTGCATACACACACACACACACACACGGTAAATGGCCTGTATTTATATAGCGCTTTACACACCCACCCATCCACACACTTGTGATGGCAGCTACATCGTAGCCACAGCCACCCTGGGGCGCACTGACAGAGGCGAGGCTGCCGGACACTGGCGCCACCGGGCCCTCTGACCACCACCAGTAGGCAACGGGTGAAGTGTCTTGCCCAAGGACACAACGACCGAGACTGTCCAAGCCGGGGCTCGAACCGGCAACCTTCCGATTACAAGGCGAACTCCCAACTCTTGAGCCACGATCGCCCTCTAACACACATGTAAACAAAGAAAAGACATTACCTGATGTACTGCACAGACTTACCACTTGGTGGCACTCCTGCCTTAAAAAGATAACAACCTAGACCCTGAACTGTGTTTGTTATGGAAAGCGTTTAAAGGTGAATGCCACCCATTTTGTTGTAAATACAAGTGTACAACACACACACACACACACACAACACACACGCACACACACACACAAACACACACACACACACTAAAACACAACACGACACACACAGCACACGTACAACACACACACACACACACACACACACACACACACACACACACACACACATGTACACACACACACACATCATGCATGCACGTACACACACGCATGTACACACACATGTACACACACACACACACACACACACACACACACACACATGTACACACACACACACACATGTACACACACATGTACACACACACACACACACACACACACACACACACACACAGCCTCCTGGTCTCCTTCACTCCTATAAGGCTGCCGTGTGTGAAGAGCTCTTACTAACAAGCTGTGTTGTTCAGTCTGTTTCTAATTGTGTTGCCATGAACTTTAACCTTTAACCTTTGACTGAGGCCTGTGGAGTCTGAGATGGAGCTGACCTTTGGGCTTTAACACACCTGACCTGCAAACTGCAGAGGTACTCACTCTAATGATGATTAGTTATGAGAAACACAGAAAGGTCAAAGGTCGCAATGTTTCAGTCATTTAATTGAATTATTAATCATCCAGTAAGAAGGGAATTAATAAAGTGAGTATTAATGTTATGATTATTGCAGGTTGAGACTCCACAGCTGATGACTTGAACAAATCTCAAAGTATTTTCTAACTAATAACTGTAGAAGCGTCACGTTCAGGAGGTTAGTGAGGCAGAAATCATTCAGCGATGATCAAAGCCAAAGGACGGATATGGTTCAGACACATGTTTCACTAAAAACTTTACACCTTGTAGACTTAACAGAAATATTAGATTCCCAAAAGAATGGAAAAGGCAGAAGTTTACAAAGGAGGGGACGATGGTTAGACTGTGTCCCAAAGTCAAAGGTTCTTTGGGTGGTTCTGGCAGTGCGATCGGTCGTCCACCACCAAACACTTCAGCCCAGAAAAGCTGAAACTGCAAACGGATATTTTGTCGAACACGTCAAACACTGAAGAAGTGCGACACTTTCTTCACTGTGTGGAGGTGTGATCACGCAGCCACGTCTGGGTTTAAACGCTGCTCCTCGCACAGCAGACTTCACTGATCGCCATCATCAGCAGGTCAGCCGCCTTTCTCATTTCTGATGTTTTTAACGCTAATGTAACTTTAAATATCTAAAAAACACAGAATTATTTTTACTTGTTTTTTTTTTAAATCTGCATCGTATATGTCAAAGTTATAAAATGTCAAATTGGCTTTTATGTGACAGAAAACACAGGATATAGACAGAAATACAAAAATGAATTCAAATAAAATGTTTAAATGTTGTTTAAAACTTTACATTTAAAACAAATAGAAACATTATTTTTTTAATATTTTCTCATGAAAAATGTAAATTCTGAAATATAAAATGATTTCATTCACATATATATACGATCTATTTATATATAGATCGACACAGATGTCAGAGATCAATGAAATTGCTGATTTTGTATCTGAATCGTGTTTTACGTGATGTCATATCCTGCTCTCATAGAATAAATGATTATATATGTGTGTCATCTGCACACGTAGCTGATCACACACGCAGAAACGATGGTGTGAGAAAGTTTTATTTTTCGTATGTTTTTCACACTTTAATGTTTCACATCTTCAAACTCATCGTAATATTGAACAATGATAACAAAGTAAACACAAAATGCAGTTTTAAAAGACGATTTCATTCATTAAGGGAACAAACATGTCAAACCTACCTGCCCTGTGTGCAAACTGCCCCCCAACCCTGATGGCTGTTCCCCCGCGGCAGCAGCAGCTGCAGTCAGTTATTCCTTCAGTGAGTTTTTCACGTCACTGTGGGGGATTTTTCGCCCACTCTTGGAGGGTTTTCCAACACGAAGCATCTCAGTCTTCTAGGCCAAACCCTTCATGTGGGCTGGCATTCTCTTTTTTATTGTTGAATGTCGACCTCTGACCTTAAGTGTTCCGGGTTCCTGTTGACTTGGAATTATTCTGCAGCATGAATTATGATCGACCCGTCCAGCCCGGGTTATCTTTGTCTAATGTTGAAATGTGCTTGCTGATCTGAAACATGTAAGCGATTGACTTTCTTCTTCCTCCCAGCTGCGATGCTGTCCTCCTTCCTCCTCCTCGTCTTCCTCCCTCTCTGTCTGGGGTGTCAGACCAGCTCGTTCACCGAGTGTCAGAAGGTCCCCTTCGTGCCGGGTCACAATCTGGTCGGCGAGGGTTTCGATGTGGTGAAGCTGCAGACCAGCGGGGCCCTTGTGGTCAACGTGAAGGACTACATGGTGGGGGGTGCTCAGGGGAACTGCACCGTGTGCCACAACCGCCTCCTCAACCAGGTGCCTCCCTCCCAAAGCTCTTTCAGCAGTTTCAGTCGTGCCGCTGCTGTTTCTGCTCACTCACAGAGAAATGCTGTCCTCCTCCCACAGATCCAGAAGCTGCCCGTTTCAGTGCTCGACTGGCGCATCAAGGTCAGCACATTCACACGTTTTATTTATGCAGACAGCTTATGTGAACTATTAAAACTGACTTCTTGAAAGAAAAAATAATATTCACATCTATTTGATGTCATTCTCGCACTGTCAACATGCGCTTGCATGACTGACTTCATTCTTTAAACTTTGTTTTAAATATTTCAAAATAATTCGCACAATAATTCCAACAGGGTTAAAAAAGTAATTAAAATGTACGACATGCGCTAACACAAAAATATGACACAACACAGAGTCTGATGACACTTCCTTTTTGTTGTTGTAATCTTACAGATTTCATTCTTAATATTTTTCTAAATCGATAGATGTTTAAATGAAAGCAATAAAACCAAACAAAGTTTAGGTTAATGTCTCTAAATATTCTTATTTCCTCAGCTTTCACATTTCTGCTCTTATTGCATTTGGTGTCAACTTCTGCAGAAATTCGGGTTCTTCATCTTAAGCACTGACGGCAGCAAAGGTCTTTCTGTCCAGCCAGCAGCACTCCGGAGCTCCTTACCAAAGTAATGCAATAATCGTTTGCCACATCATAACCACGTTCAGGATCCATATGCAGGAACTGCTTCTCAAAGTACAAACAGTCACCTCTGCTGGCTTTGGCCTCCATACGCAAATGCCCCAGAAGATTTTCATCAGACATCGGAACGCCGTTCAAATTTTGAAAATGCCTTCAGATGCTTCCTCCTCGGCTTGTGGCTGCACTAAACGTTGTCAGGGAGCTGATGTGAAGCACATGTAAAACATCACTATTGTCTCAACTTTGGTTCAGCGTCTGCTGATGTCCTTGGGATGTGCTCAGAGTAAGATCTGATTCTTCCCCGTGCCTTACCAAGTTCCTTGGAGGTGGTTCATATTCCGTGGCCACGGAGTTTCACAAAGTGCAGGTTGCTGAGTGTTTCTTTTCTTTCTCCAGCTGTTTCTGCTTTGCCTGCTGGAGTTCTTACTGGACACACAGTGCTAAAATCATCACCAGCCTCAGTTTGACCTTTACAGGTGATGACACAACTGACACCATCTTCATCGCCACCCCGTGTCATCAACCATTTCAGTACATCACTGATGAAGTCATTCTTTATAATCTTGTATAATCTCTATAATCTCTTTATAATCTTTCAACATCCTCACCATGGAGTCCATGAAAGGTCCCGACCCTGTTAAGCATCCTTCCTGCCCCACTGAATCCTAAATCCATGGCCACCTTGTTCAGTTCCTTCGGCGTCTCCGTGGGAGCTAATCAACAATTGCCAACCAGCAGCTTCTGTTGCCCCGCAGACCAACACAAATCCCAATGCTAATGAGGACACGTGTACAAGCTTTCTTTTAGTTTTTACATATGAGCTCAAAGCTGAAAGCACAAAGCAAAGATGAACATCAGCCCAAAGAGACTTCAAAGAGGTTGCCATGGTGATTTTACAGTGAACACTTAAACAGGTAGAAACAGAAGCTGCAGGCTGATCATCACTGCCTTTGTTACCTGTTGACCTTCAGGCTCTGGCTGCTGTGCTCGGGTCTGCATGCATTTATTCTTATGTTCACTGTGTTTTCTTTGCTAGCTTTGTGTTAGCATGTGTCTGTACAGATGTGTTAGCAGTGTAATCCAGTTGTTTCTGTCCTGCAAGCTGTTTCCACTTTACAGTCACTTGTCTCTCTAACTTGAAGAAGTTATAACATAACAGAAGTTCTAGCCAACCCCCTTTTCTCCTCTTTGGAGAGTAAACATGGTGTTTATGTCGACATGAACAGCATCACCCAGCGTGCTCTCTGTCCTCAGGTGCAGTGCGAGCACAGCCTCAGCAGCAAGCTCTTTGAGTCCAGCCAGTCAGTGATGAAGGAGAGGAGTTCATCGCTGGGAGTCAGCTGGAAGGTTGAAGAGTTTCTGACTTCAGCAAATAACACACACAAACTGCATATAAAAGATGGACAGAAGCCCATTAAGCTTGCATTCTATTAATGTCCAGCAGGGGGCGACCTGAGCCTGGGGGAAAACCCCCACAGGTAACAGGGTGGACAGGACATAACACTGATAACACACCTATGAATATTTACCCCACCCTAAAGTAATTTGATTTACATTAATCAGATGAAATGCTGCTTCAACTTCATGTCCCAGTCATCCCAATTCACACTGTTTAAGAAAATTATAATCCTGTAAACGTTTAAAAGTTTCCAAATTCAAAATAATATATAATCCCAAAACTTTTTAATAACACTCTCTCATATTTTCAGCAGTCCTTAATTATTTTTTAATTTTAAGTGTTTTATGGACACTTGTATTAGCGTTTGGCATATATTTAACTTTTAAATGAAATAAAGATTATTATGATAATTACTGATTTCCTAGTTTTACATTGGTTGTATCGGTTGACAGGGAAACCATACAGTTGACTGACTGAATTAGGCGATTAATAATAATAAAGAGAGAGCTGCAACACTTTTTTTAATTAGTATTATATTTTTATGTTATAATAAAACACTCGTGTCAGCATCAATCTCTTAACAAAATGCTCAGCTTAATTATTTCAACAGCTTTCAAATTAATCACAAACTGAGCACTTTAATTTTAATCTATTCTATGGTGGTGGGGGGGGGGGTAATGGTGTAAGACAAGCTTTAGGAAATAGATATTGGTCCATTTTTGAACAAAATACACTCACTTTGTCCTGGAATACAAACTCCGAGTCTACTGCTCACGTGATCTCTGAGCTCTGTAAATTCTGATGGTCTCAGTCCAGCACTGCGGTCATGGTTAACAGAAATATTGGACTATGATTTTGAAATAAAACATAGAATCAACACGTAAATCAGATCAAAGGGACCACATCAAACTCTTCGCTTTGCTCTTCCCTGGAAGTTAAACACGATCCTCGCTTATGCTAAATTCTCTTGTTGATGTTGATTTCAACACTCTCTGAGTACCATGTCTCATGTTTCTGGTATACCTCTTCTCAGGTGGGCCTCGGCATTAAGGGAATTGCTGGTGTCGCCATCGGAGGATCTCACTCCATGTCATCAACGTTTGCAGAGTCTCGCAGCCGGAGTGATAAGTTTAGCTTCACTAGCCACGAATTCAAATGCAAATACTACACGTGAGTTTGATTCTCTCGTCCTGACGTCACCTATCCAGGTGACTGTTTGTGTCGGTCCTGAAAAGGTGTCCCTCCTCTGTGCTCCTGTGTGGCTGTATTCTTGCATGCCTCAGTCAACCCTTACCTTCTTTACCGTCAGCTTCCGTCTTCACTCCCGTCCCCCACTGAGCAAAGAGTTTGAGGTCTCCCTGAAGAACCTTCCCTCCACCTATGATCACAAAAACACCTCCGCCTTCCGTCAGTTTATCTCCATCTACGGGACCCACTTTATCCGCAGAGTTCAACTCGGGGGTCGGGTTCACTCCATGACCGCAATCCGGACCTGCCAAACCTCCATGTCTGGACTGTCAATCCAGGCTGTCAGCACCTGTCTGTCTGCCGAAGCCAGCGCAACCATTAAGGGCATCCCTGTTCACGCCTCCAGTGAGTTCTGCCGCCGGAAGAGCAAGAGCCTTAAAACCGCTTCAACCTTCAGTACGGCCTTCTCCGACAGGAAGACCCAGGTGCTGGGCGGAGATGGGGGTATAACGGACATCCTGTTCAATCCCAGAGGGTCTGAGGGGTATAAGAAATGGCTTGCGTCTCTGAAGAGTGTCCCAGGAGTGGTTTCCTACCAGATCAGCCCTCTGCACTTATTGGTGAGGAACAAATGAAGGGTAAACTGAGCTGATAAAGTTATTATTTCCCTTTAAATGTCTTCAGATGGTTTTGGTTGGGTTTGGGTAACCATGGCAGTTTGAGTCATAAAAGTCACGGTTAAAAGAAATCTGACTGCTGACTGTGAATTAAAAATGAAAGTTTGTTTGGGTGACCCATCTCTCCACCCTAACCTCCTCCTTATGCCATGTTCACAACTACTTCAGCAACTAGAGGGTGCTGCTGCTCTAAAATATATCTATGCATCATGTGAAGAAAAGCCCAACCAAGTCTTGAGTTTTTCTTATTAAAGTGACGTTTTTTTAATGCTTACATGTATTTTTTTGGGGGGGGCTGTTTTTTATGTGCGATTTATACAAATATGGTTATAGTTTTAATAACAGATTTTAATAGCTAGTTAAATCCCCAAGCATTATATTCTGCTCACATTTTAAAGGCCGAAGCAATGTTTACACAAACTGTCACAATATTCAGGTCACATTTGTTCTGTCTGCATACAGACACGTGTACAGTTTAAAGATATCAAGTAGAAACTTAAGAGCATCGTTGTTTTTTTTAACCAAATATAACTTGCATCAGTTTAGCTGCCTTTTAGCATCAGTCTGAGCCTCATTCAGTCTGTTGGTTTTACTCTGTTACTTTCAGCCTCAACCAGATTATTTAAAAGCTCTATTGTCTTTGTTAGATAAGAGACAATCCCATCCTAAAGGCCAGCCTGCGAGACGCCATCAGTGACTACATTCTCACAAGCGCCAAGCCGCTCCACTGCCCCGCCAACTGCAAGATTGGCCACCGGAAGCAGAACTGCGCGTGCCAGTGTCAAGGTCATCGAATGGTTGACTCCCATTGCTGTCCTGCTGCGGCAGGTGTAGCTCAGATGAACGTGACGGTGGTCCGAGCTGAGGCACTGTGGGGCGACTATTTCAGCAAGACAGACGGATATGTTAAAGTTTTCTACAACAACCAAGGAGGCACGACGCCAGTGATCTGGAACAACAACTTCCCCCAGTGGAACTACCTCTTTACTTTTGGAAGCATTAACCTCAAAGAACGAAAGTGAGCAACACTAATTATTACTAATCAATTTCAGTTTCTGCAAGATCTGAGACTTACAGCCACTCTATGGGTGGTAAACCAAAACCTGCAGTTTCTCTAGCGTTCACCTGAGGTTCCAGCAGTGAGTCAGTCCTCATAGATTTGCATGTTAAAATGTCCAAATCAAAAAGAGCGTGAGGTATTCAAGAACCAAAATAAAAGATTTCCTAAACAGTAGCTTAGAGAAGCACAAGTAGACTCAGGTGATCTCTGATGTAGTGCTTCTGTGTTTCCTCCACAGACCCGTTGTTTTCGAGGTTTGGGATCGGGACAGCATCTGGGACGATGACCTGCTGGGGAAAGTGTCTGTCATCCCCACGATGGGTCGAAACATCAACAAGAAGTTCAAGCTGAAGCACGGCTCAGTGGTGGTCCGCCTGTCTGTCGTGTGCGGTCCCAGCCTGGAGGGGTCGCTGTGCGAGCGCTACATCCCCTCGCCTACCTACCAGGACGTGATGGGATATGCAAAGAACCACCAGTTCTGAAACTGGAGGAAAAAGCAGTGCATGGATTACAAAATAATTTAAGAAAATCCAAGCAAGCATGAAATGTTGATGTTATCTCAATACCGGTCGCCAACACCAACCCACAGATGGGACAAAACCTTTGATTTGTTCATTGTAATGTAGAAATAAAATGCATGTTTCTGTCTCTTTAAACCCAATACAATTTGATTGATGAGTAATTTGGCCACAAAAAGCCATCTCAGGCAGACCAGTATCACCAGAGGAAAAGACTGAAACCAGTTATAGTGATGTATGAGTAAAATGTCTCATTTGTATGGTGAATTTAACATATCTGGACTGTCACAGGAATCATCCTCTGTCCCTGATATCATTGATATGAAACCTGTTATATGACCTAAGCAGTGTGTAGTCTGTCAGATCAGTGGGGGGACAAACATCCCCAAAGGTTGGAATTTTGCTCAATTCTCTCAATCAAGAAGGTTTAAATTAAAAAACAACAACTTAACACAGATTTCCTGTTGTTAGAAAGTCCAAGAAGGACATTCAGCAGACATTAAATAAAAATATCAGATCAGAATCCGAAGGCAGAGAAGGATGTCCAGAAGGCACTCGAGAAAAACCTATAGCAACATTCCTGAAGGACATCAAGCTATGTTCAAGGTGGACATTCAACTAAGATGTCCAGGACGTAACATCTTCAACATCTGCCCAGTTTTCATTTTGGAACCAACATCAGACACAGAGAAAAGATCAGCTGATGGTTACTGAACTTCAAAACGTTTGCTGTTTGGGAATCTTCAGCTATTCCTCTGCGTAGCATCCAGATGTTAAACTTCTCAAAAGTCTCCAAAGCAGAATGAGCTCACATCATGGAAACTCACCAGCAGGTTGTTGGAAAATGACCCGAACACCAACAAAACTTCAAATCCAAATGAGCTTCATCGATACAACCCAGCAAACACATCGATGAACAGCTGCCCAGCTTCTCTTGCTGTCCAGTCTGGGTTGAAAAAGGTTCCAAAATGAAAAATGTGCTGATGACAAAGAAGGAATTTCACCATCTGCTGGACATCAAATAACCTTTGACCTGTGACAGTCCAGACATGGTCAGTTTACCATGGCAACAAGTAGGATAGAATTTAGATGTAAGGTAAGCTTAATGGCCTCAAAGTGTGGTTCAAATATAAAAACAGGTTCTGATCACAATCATTCATCTGTGCTTCGGTTCTCGCAGTGCTACAGAGACCAGTTTTTACTGGGACGATACCATCGCTGTTCCTACCATGTTTGCTGGGAAGCTTCCCACGGTTGGAGCTTCAGGCTGATATTTGGTGGATTTCCTTTGGTTATAATTGGTTTTATGAATCAGCTGCATAAGTAAAACCTTCTAAATGTGCAGAAAGTTTTTTAGCCTCTGAATGACTGACAGAAGTACAGGATGGAGTATTTTACAGAGTGTTAACTCCACTTTAAAGCTCACAGAGCTCAAACAGTGATGACAGATGTAATGAAATGGTGAATATTTCAGCCGCTGTCAGCAGTCCTGACTGTTAAACAGTCCGAACACACACTGCTGACAGTGTGACACACAGGCTGCGGTAAACTGTCGCTTACTCACTGCTGAAGACTCCTCAGCAGAACAGGAACAAACACAAATCCAACATGTTTGCAATGACAGTGTAGTACGTCACCAATAAATGACAATAATTGATCAGCTGAAATTACACCAACCTGTCATGTTATGAATTTAGAAGTCTGTTTGTCGGTTATGCTTGAGATTAGAGACCTGCAGGAACAAAACCTATACCCACTGGCCAATCAGATGTCTGGAAAGTAGCGTCCCCCTTCCTGGAAGATCCCTCAGACTTCCCAGTGCTGACGGAAGCTTTCAGTCCGTCTTTATCTGATAAGCATCAGAACTACAGATTAGGAGAAACTTTATTTCTGCTTTTTTCTGTTGGCTGCCATTTTTAACTATTTTAATCTTCTGTAAGTCCTGATATTTGACCTTGAGCAGGACATTTATTTGTTTTTGCTGAGCTCGTATTAAATTTCTAAGCAGATTAATCCTGTTTGAATTCTGGTTTCTGACTCATCATTTCCAGTGTTGCTGAAGGAAATTTCTGCATTTCATTGTGAAACTGTGTTACATATTAATTTAAAACCATGAAAGGCGACTTGCTTTATGTAGTCTTAGTCAAATATCAGTGAAGGGAAGTCAGGCAGGTGAGGTGACTCTGCCAGGTGAGTCGCTTATTTATAGAGTTGAAACTCAGACCAGAGAAAACTGCAAAATGAAACAGAAACTGAGAATAACCGGCCCCACCTCTCCTGACCCGAGGGACCTGCTGACTGCCTGCGCAGTCCTGTGAAAGCGTCCATCCTTACTGCTTCCACAAGAATTAAGAGGATGAGCAGCAGCCAGGTGCTGCTAATCAATTGCATTGATTAACTGATCACCATCAGTGTGATCGTCTCTGTAAAAGCTGAAGTTTTTGGCATTTTGAAGGTCTGGAACATTCAGGTGTGTAAACACAATTCCACAATCTTCCTAAGTGTGCAGAAAACCCCAAAACCAGACTCTACAGTTAGCAGGTTAAAGTTCATGACAGCACAATTAGACAAAGGCTGAACGAGGATGGACTGTTTGGGTTGCAGGAGAAAGCAAAAAAAAAAATTACAGCTTCACTTTGCAGAGCTGCACCTGAAGGAAGAAGAAATGAGACCAAAGTGGAGCTGTTTGTTTATAATGCACAGCACCACGTTTGGAGGAAACCAAACACCTCACAATAGCTGTCAGCACGGCGGTGGAGGGATCAGGGTTTGGGCGTCTTGCAGTCACTGAGAGAACTTGGAGAAAACTGGGTCATCAGCAGGACAGAGGTCCATGCACTGCATGCAACCTGGCGAGAGGCTGTGCGTACACGAATGCTGCAAAGCTGAATAAGCTGAAGCAACGCAGCATGGACGAGTGGACCAAAACCCCTCCACAGTGATGACAGAGACAAACCTCCGTCATAAACACCAGACCTGCATGGAGGCCTGCATATACAGTTGACCTGCACGGTCAAATGTATATTATCGTCTTTTCAGCCTCATTGCCATCACTGGTTCAACAGTTAATAGATGATCAATCAATTATGATCAAAACAGGTATGAATCAGTGTGACTCCAGTGTCAGTGTTTCATCAGCAAAGATGATCTAAGATTTATTAAGTGCTCAGATTTTAATCTCGATTGTAAAGACAAAGTAAACTTTCAGAGTCGTTTTCCTTTCTGGGGAAGCAACGTTGCCCGAGCGATGGAAAACCACGGCAACTGAACATGTTTACTGTGGTATTAAATGTGTTTTTGTGCCCTGAAAATCTTTGGTCCTTTCATGACAAAATACAGTTTACTAATCACAAATTGACAACATAAACATAAACTGTGCCTGTGGTGCTGACCCAAAAGCAGGAAAACACGACGGGCAGAACTACGGCTGATAGAGGAACGTAGGAACGAAAGGCAACGTCCAAACTACATTATAACCTAAACTGAGGAAGCCAGGATTAACCATGAAAACTGTGAACCTGAACCCAAGCTCGAAAATAATCCTGTGACTCGAAGTACTCGAGGCTAGAAAAACAAACGACCCGACGCCGAACAGAAGGAGACAGCGGACTTAAATACACAGAAGGGTGATGAGGGAGACACCTGGGAAACACAGCTGGCACAAATGAACCTGATGCCACAAGGGAAGTAAAACTAAACATGCTGAACATGGAAACACAGGACTTTCAAAATAAAACAGGAAACATTATGAAATGTAGACATGACAACACAAGCTTGACAGTAGAACATGGAAACACGCAGACATGACAGACTGGGGAGAAACACAAGGAGAGACATGGGGACAGATAAGGGAGACGAAAGCATAATTAAACATTAAACACAGAGGACACGAGAGACTTACACAGAAGACAGGAAAAGACTCATAAACACGAGACATGGAAGAAACACAAACTAGAATAAATCGCTTGAATAAACCCTAACTAAATAACACAAAAACTTAACATTAAAGCAATCTAACATAAGAAAAACAAAAATACAAAATAAACTCAAAACACCAGGTTATAGACCCAACCCCTGAAAAATGAAGACAAACGCTAACGCTGATGTAGCTTCACACAGAGACAGTATTAGCCAGCTAGCTGCTATCTTGGGTATTAAGCACTCTGTTAGCCAACATTAGCCAGAACAAAGACAGTTTTCTCAAACAAAGACCATCAGATTTGATTTTTGTGAACATTTGATTCGTGAAGGAGTTCTTTGATTTGGAGGTTCAAATCCAACCCTCAGCTAATGTTAGCTAGCAGTTGCATGCATGCTAACATGGACAGATTGAGTATCATGCGTCTGAGAAGCTCGATTCATTTTAAAAGACTTTAAACTGGCAGACCTCCAAATGTTCGGTCATCTTTTAGAAGACCCCAGCTGGTTTTTACCATCAGCTCTGTAAGGCCCTCCAGCTCCGTCTCTCTGTGCTCTGATTGGTCAGAGCGGCATGGACTCGTGACTCAGCTCTGACTCACAGCGTTGACCTCTGGCCGACTGAGTCAGGAGGTTCAGAGACCCTCGTTTACATTTAACGGTGGTGCGAGTGAACGTACGTCAGACGTCTGAGATCTTCGTCGTTAAAACACGTCTGCATGCCCTCTCCTGCCTCACAGCAATGACCCTGTTTCAGATGTTTACAGTTACAGGGCATTATTAAAACTGTAGATATCTGAAGGCTCAAGAGGCAGCTGGGAGGATGAGGAAGGCCTGCTTCAGAGGTAGAGAAGGACATCCTCAGGTTAGAAGTTGTCGTAGTCTTGATTTAATACATTCTGAATGGGCTGCAGGGTTCGCATCACTGCTTTTCTACTATTGTTTCACAGATTTCCCTGAAAACCACATTTAATGCAGCTCCTCCCTGACTTTTTATATTTTTCATCCTTTTTCTTTTGTTCATGCTTTTAAAATATACAAACTCCACTTTGGACAGTGGTTACTGAAAAAGTTCAGAAGTAGATTTGTGAAGTAGTCAGACTCGAACGTCAAGGAAGGTGGTAGGAAAGCAGACTAGTAGACATTTCAGGTTTCCAGAGGTGAGCAATTTATTTACAGTGAACTCAATTTAATGTGTAACTTAACAAAACTTCCCCCCAAAGTAACTTAATTAACAAAACTCAACAGACCATGGCTCTGTTGACACAGCTCACCTCTCCTCTCTCATCTGAGTCTGGTAGAGACTGGCTTTAAATAGGGCCATCAATTTCCAGCCAGTACCCCTCACTCACACTGAGGGATCTAAAACTCTACACAGATGATTAAAAAAGACACAAAACCTCACACTTCTAACATGCACGTTTACACAACTAAATGGCAGTATTAATGAAAAGAAAAAGATTCAACAAATCCCTTCAGACCTGGACACAAACAAAAGGAAGCATCTCCACTTGGTTCGACCTGCTGATGTCATGTGTGACATCATCAGGACTTTAAAATGAGGAAATGCTAAGCGGGCGTTTCCCCACACCTGACCCACGTGAAGACTGAGAAGAACAAAGTATGAACAAATGACTTAATCTGTAACACAATAAAATATAAAGAAACGTGTCACTGAGTATTTACCTTAATTTGCCGGCAACAGAACGCTTCCGCAAACAAACCCGGGATAGTGAGTGCAGCAATGTTACATGACAAATAGCAAATCATAGCAAATACATAGAAACAGAATAATGTGTATAATGTGCAAATAAAAGGTAAACACATATGGGACAAATGGAGAGCATTGCAGCTGCTCATCCACTTTGTCACAAGATTAAAATATCAAAAGATGTAAAATTTTAAGAGAAACAACAAAACAGCTTTAAATCCAAATGAAAGATGGACGACCAGCAAAGTTCATGAAGGAGTCGGTGAGCTCAGATCATTTCTGTAGCACATTTAAACACAGCTGGCGTAAAAGCAACCTAGCAATTAAATATATGGTTAGTATAAAAGAAGTAACAATGATAAAGAATAAAAATAATAATAAAAGACACAGTGAGAAGGAAAAGCTACTGAGGGGAAGAAGAACCTTTAAAAGCATTCAAACATTCTGATCAGCTTTTATTTTGAAATTATTTTCCAACAAAGGCTCAAGGTAGAGGAAGCAAACCGCAAACTGTCTGCTTCAGAAATCTGGAGACATCAGCAGCCACAGCAAGGGATTTGGCGATGGCCGAGCCACGCCAGTGTCCCGCTGGCCGCTGTGCAGGGCTGGACTGGGACAGAAAATCGGCCCAGGCATGTTGACTAGAGACCGGCCCCCCAGGTATTACAGGAAAAGCCATAAAGCCTTTGAATGAAAACAAACGCTGTTGTGACAGTGATGTACTGTCTTGTTGGTATATGTATGATTTATATACATTGTACATCAGATAAAAGATTCAGATAATTATTTGTTAAAAGCAATTTTAAATGAGAATAAGAAAGTATTTCTTTGTGCCCCCCTCTCCCTGTTAATGCCCTACCTGCCCCCCTGGCAACACTTTGCTAGAGCCGCCCCTGCACAGTTACCAGCTGTCAGCTCTAAAAAAGGATCCTGGTGTTATTTGTCTCTCAGAAACAGTTCATAACTTCAACTCTTCATGTCACCTAAAAGGTAAACCTGTTTCTCCATCACCTGTTCAGCTCTGATGATCTCAGTAAGGACATCATCCTGGTTTCATCTTCATGTTTCCCTCTCACCACATATCCAAACCGACTATCATGACCAGCAGCTTACAGCTGTGGCTCCAGCAAACATCAGCTGATACTAGAAATTAATATTAAATAAATTCTAACAACAGCTGATCAAGCTTAAACGTGCTGCTGTTGTTTAGCGCGACATCCGCTGGTTTCCTCTTTCTGGCGCAAAGTGAGGCGATAAACAAACAAGAGAGAAAAGCCGATCAGCTGATCATTGATCAGTTTCATCGATTGAATGAGAGAAGAAGAGGCAGCTGCAGCGTAAAGACAGAGAAAAACTCCAGCTTTGTGTCCGGGACAAACTGTTCCTTTTCACCTC